CTCCTCTTCTTCTTTCCTTTTTCTTTCTCCTCCTTCTTATTCTTCTTCCTCTTTCTCCTCCTCCTGCTTCTTCTTTCTCCTCCTCCTCCTTCTTCTTCTTTCTCCTCCTCCTCCTTCTTCTTCTTCCTCCTCCTCCTCCTTCTTTTTCTTCCTCCTCCTCCTCTTTCTTCTCTCCTTCTTACTCCTCCTCCTCCTCGTCCTCCAGTGCATGAATTCAGTGTTTGAGACCGTCCTGGACCTCACCTACCCCATCACCTCCATGTTTTCGGGTTCAGCCTTCAACGCCAGCATCAACAAGGTTTTCCAGGACAAGCAGATCGAGGTGCGTCGTACAGACGCCCCCTTCCCCCAGGGCTGCACCCACCCGTGGTGGGGGGTCCGACCAGCTCCCCACCCACCCACCAACGTCCCCACGGTGTCACTCACCCCATCGTGTCCCCGCAGGACCTGTGGCTGCCCTACTTCAACGTCACGACCGACATCACGGCCTCGGCCATGCGGGTGCACACGGACGGTAAGAGCTCCCCGGGGAGCCGGGGAAGCTCTCCGGTGCCACCACATCCCGCCTTGTGGGGACCCCTCTTCACCGGCACCCCAAAACGGTGTCGCTGCCCCACGGGGGAAGGTTTGCCACGTGCCAAGGGGAGGACGCATCCTGGCACGGCAAGGAGAAGGCTTGGAGGGCTCATGGTGAGCCCGGCTAGTGGTGGCGTCCCAGAGCCACCCAGTGCTGGTGACCAGGCTCGGGTCCCCATGGGGGTCTGGCTGTGCCCCACGTCCTCAGTGGGCTTGGGGGCAGAATTGGTGCGTGGAACCACATCTCGCCACCCCGAGCATGCATGTCCCCTCTAACGTATCTGCTCACCACTAACCCCAGTAACCCACGCTCACGGCATGTGGAGCACGGGGACGCGGTGGCAGCGCTGGGGGCGGCGTGGCGATGGGGATGGTGGAGCCGGGCAGCGGCGGTGGTGGTGGAGACGACGTGGTGGTGGTGGAGACGTGGCGGTGGGGACTTTGTGGTGGTGGGAACATCGTGGTGATGGGGCCGTTGTGGTGGCTGCCCCTCCTCCTTGCCTGGTGTCGGAGCTCACCTGGGACATTGAGCCGTCCACGGGGGCGCACGCGGTGGCTCGTAAGCGGCCTGGCTCTCGCTCTGCCTGCTCCTTTGGCCTCTAACGCCAACTAATCCCTGCTCACCACCCCTAACCCTCCGGCGAGCATCTCGCCCGTCCGTCCTTCCCCATCCCGGTGGCTCGGTCTTGGGGCTCCAAACGTCC